GTTGGAGTAAACTGTAATCCGCCTCAGATGTTTTCTGAATTTGTTCACATCTTTTATGAGAGTAAGTCGGATAACATGAGATGGAGTAATTGTAACCGAAAGGGTCAAACATAGAGAAATTCGATGTGAAAGTATAAAAGTCTGGGGTGACTACTGCTCGATGCTTCGGGGCCGAGCAGAAACTTTCATGAAGGCACACGCAAACGGAGTGGAGTCAAGGACTGGTCCGGCGCCCAAATACGCGAAGATTCATCTGATGATATATTCACGTGCATCTCACCAGCAAAGTGTAATGGAGCCCCAAGGGGCCGTGTTCATCAAACCGTTGAATGGGCCGTTACAGGTTGTATGTACAAAAAGTCGGGGACCGTATGTACTTGGAGGGACGGACAAAGGTTTCCTCGACTGACGAATTGTGCCGCTCAACAGATTCTGAAAGAATTGCTGGGCCGGGGAGTCGGGGACTCGGGTGGCTCTGACGACGCCTAACCCTGACTTCACCCTGTCGGTCCCTGGCCTGGCTGTCCCTCATCTAGAGACGGGAACCCATGCCGGAGCATACGGCTGGTGCTCACTGTACTGTACTTGTCGTATGGCCGGGTCCGGCCCTGCAGTCGACTGTCGACTATGCATCGAGAGAACCACAGTGAGGTTGCCAGCGGGCGGCCAACGCAGTAGCGGCTCTGGCGGCACATTAGAATGTCCGCCTTACGGAAACGGAGATGCGGTGGCGCGAGACCAGGACGGGCGCGCACGCCCGCCCTTTACACTTGACTGGAGGCAGCGGGGTTGCTGTGAGCCGTGGATGCCAGCGAAGACGTTGAAATTCCGACGGACCGATGGAGATGTAGGGCAAGGTTAGGGTTGGGAGCTGAGCAAGGCGCGGGATCTTTGAACGGAACGCGGGGCCTGCTGCTGTGATGTAATTAATGAGAGCAGGCAGGGCGAGTACGTTCGATCTGGAGCTGATGATGTGACGAGAAAAGTGAGGAGAGAAGGGAAGGAACGGGGAGGGAGGATGGAATGAATGAATGAATGCGATTGTTGACGCTTGCGGGGGGTCATTGATTTGAATGGGCTGGGCTTGTGAATCGGCGAAGATCTGCAGCAGCAGCAGCAGCTGCTGCTGTAAAACTGTAGCAGACGATGGGGTTGTAAAGGTGCGGAAGGGGTAGGAAGCTATCATGAAATCGATGGATAGATTGGGGTCCAGTCTACCTTTTGCTTTTGGTAGTGCGGCCGGCGATGGTTTTCTTGGAGGGAGAGGGGAGGGGCGAGGGAGGGCTAGAGGGGTCGACATGCGGGGGAAGATAGAAACATCATACAAGGGGAGGAGAGCAGGAGGTGGCGGAGGAAGGCATAAATCAGGGTTGGTTGGTTAGAAACAAGAGTAAGTGGAGGCTGCCATGCTTTACCCTAAATATTATAAAAGTGAGAACCTGCGTGAGACGGTACCTGGATGTGTGCATTGAATGCTGCCGGACATTTAGTGCTCGGAGAAAGGTTTCTTTGTATGGGAGTGGTCCCTCTCTTGGAGGTTGCAGATTCGTTAGAATCTTACGGATGGTATACATCCGTTTGCACTTGTGTACCATGCCCATCGCTTTTATTGATATGTTTTACCTTCCACGATATCAGTTCCGCGCTGGCTTTGCCAACTATCAGTGATCGAATGAGTGCATGGAGACTTGGATTCTCTTTCTTTCATAATAGACACAATGTTAACTCCCACTAAAAACCGGTTCTTTCTCCATTCTCCTGTTCTTCTCGTCTACACTGCAAGCTGTATAGTTACAGGCAGTACACTGGCTGACCGCTGCTTGTATCGATATCGCTGGATTCATTTTCCTCGCTGCATCTAGTGTGAAGCATAGTCTCCTCCACTTCTCTCTCAAGGTCACCCGACCCCCGCCATATCAGAGTCCATATATCAGGATTTTCTATAATTAGAAAGACGATGATACGTGTGTATTCCCCAAGTACCTCACGATTTGTAACACAATTCCTTTTGTACTTCCTTCCAATTGGAACAAAGGTTGACACATATTCATTGACAGACATAAGAGTTTCGAATCATCTCTGAGCCTCAGAGAACTTTCCACTTAGCAGGCGTTCTGATGAGTTCAAATATACCATAAAGACGCGCACTCATTTTTATCGAGTCCGGAGTTCTTGGTGGAAGGTTTATTGCTTGGTCGTGTGTCCAGCTCTCGTCACAGTGATGTTCCTCTACATATAGTTTCAGTACAAGCTTTAGTGGTGAACCTGAGGTACCTGTAGTGATTATTCTAACGTACAACAATCGAAGATCTAAGGACAAATAGTGTTTCGTTCGGTGGACATAAATCGGGCAAAGTCCGTGGACCTCGTTGTAAATGGGTCCATTTTATTTGGCAGAGAAGTCTGGGTCTATATAATGTTATTATGTGGTTCGTGGGAGAAATTGACAGCTAGGGCTGGGTACTTAGTGAAGAGGGAATATATGCTATATTTTGCAGGTGAATCCAAAGTTTAGGCCCAATTTCCTTGTGTACATTAGATCACACTTGCAGATTTCCGGGAGCTATCTAGATTTCAGACCTACAACTACGATCTTCAATCGTGTTCAGAGGTAAATATCAGAGCAAACATACATATAGATATATTTACCATTATCATTAATGAAAAAATATTCATCATCGCTCTTACACATGTCTCCTCGAAAATTGTGTAAGGCTTGCTTTTCGAGAAGCACCTCATTAATTACAGTGTTATTCCGTGAGGAGGACTTTCGACAACCAAACATGGAGAATTTCTACAGTCTAATCCTTGTTGTTAGATGTTCAGAATGAGATGAGGATGATTTCTTCTTTTTCAAAGCCAATACACATTGGATAACTTTCTTTTAAGTAAGAGTGAAACTTTCTTTTAAATACAGGAGATATTATTTTCACATTGACCACGTGGGGACTTTTGTTATTTGACTACAATTCTGCATCGTGCCCTTTGGCGAATCCTTTCCCTTTCAAGCCGGATTGAAGAGAAGCAGCTTTACAACCCAAGGTATAATTAGAATGACAATTTGATCTGACTTGCTTGACTCGACTCCAGTATATCACTGCAAGACATTGAAAGCACAACACTCATTACTTCTATCATTACCAAAACCATGACTCGAGGAAATCTGCGTCGAGGACTTGTTGACGCATTCAAGCCCAAAGAAAAGGTATCAATGTCTTTCTCTCCCTTTATCATGAAGAAGAACACATGTAGAAAACTACGGTAAAAGGATGAAACAGCGGGCGTGCAACATTTAGTCAAGGTAGAGGGAAAAGTAAGAAAATGATAGGAAATAGAGATCGAGAGGGCGGGCAGGCGAGCAAGCTAGTGTTTCAGTCTTGCTTCGAAGTAAGGGCCCTGAATTATTTTGTGATTATGGACAGACAATCCGTCAGAAAGCTAGTCAGTGAAACCTGCGGCTTTACAAGAGGAGCTCATGATGAGGTCTCTCTTCAAGTCCTTGCAACCTGTCGAGATAAGTGAAAATCATTGAGTAAGGATGCCATGCTTCAACCTTCAATATCAGTGTTGGTTTACTTGAGCAGTAGGCATGCGGGAAAGAACAGGAGGCACCACTTCTCTTCAAACTAGAGGTTTATCGAGTTGAACTCAACCGATGCCTTCCGTAAGCTCTGTTAGTAGCCTGTGTTAGTTAGACAATCCGTCAGAAGCAGCCACGAAGCTTTTGTATGCGAGTGAGCTCAGGAGCTTTGGGCAGTTCTCTATGTTAACGTTGCTGTAATAGTCTATGCATAAACAATGTGTAACGACCAGGTTAACAGGAATGCAAGCGGGTGGATTCTGCCAGGCAGGAGTGGAAAGTGCAACAATCCAATAGCCAGCTTCCATCCCGCTCAAAAGAAAAGTTTGGTTCTTAAATGCGCATTCGATTGCGGCCCCAGCACCTGACGCGCTTTGCCCGTCACAGACATCCAGCCAAAGCCAGAACGGGTCCGGAGCGTGGCGGGGAGACTGCAGTAGAGCAGCTGTGGCCTTCCTCGCAAAAGATAGGCCACGATCTGACTTCCGCCTTCTGATGTGTCCACGTCTGTGTTTCGCATTCCGTTGGATGAAGATGGTTCCGTGTAGAAACGAGAGAAGATTGCATCACGGAGGGCAAAGCATCAAAGTAAGTGGATTATAATACTATATGCAGCTTTCTTCTGATTTGAGACAAGCCTCGGCTTCCCTCGAGTCTGGCCATATATAGGACTACCAAACTGGCCGCCATATGAGGTAGGGTATGTGTCACCTAATTTTAGTGGAAGGATAAACGGTACCCTCTGCGACTGCGTGGGAAGTGGACTGCGTGTTTACTGAGAAAACGCCTATCCTACGGTAATTGCGAGGGAATCCTTTATTTTGATTTAGAAACTCGCAAGATGAGGCAGGGCGGGCGACCGACAGAAGGTAACAAGATGTCCAAAGGGAAAAGAAATTGAAGGACTCGCATCCGGCCCAAGCCAACGAACAGGAGAAGGACGGGCCGTTCACTTTTGCTATGGCTTGATTGATAACGAAAATTTGTTTTAATTGCGGAGGTGAACATGCATGGATTTGGCGACTGCGAAAAGAAAGACGAACCGCAACTGTCTCGTAGGAACTATCAAGGTTAGCATTATCCGCCTGGCAAATGGCAGTAGGCACTATGAAGTCCAAGTGAGTCAAGACTATCCTTGACGCTAACCATAGATACGCAAGATATGGAATGCACTATTTTTGCTGGTGGTTGTGGTCAAGAATGCTTGAAGCGTGGGATTGGGGTTTTGTGATGACCACTCTGCCCTGATCCATGTCAAATATACTCTCCGTATTCGTATACATATAGAAATACGTACAATAATATACACCTGTAGCATCCAATAATGGATACGTCCCTCCTCTACAGTGTATACATGAGCGATCCCGTTGCAGTAAATCCTGCCTGGAGTATATATACTCGTGCCTTTGGGACCTGAAGCAAACCAACCATCGTTCCTTGCGCGGGCCCTCTGCGCGGCTGGGCAGACACACCGCTGCCGCGGTGTTTGTGTGCACACACGCGCACCTTGTCTCCTGCAAAGGGTGGATGCTTTTCTGGTCGTAAAGTTAGTTCAGCTCGATGACTGCCGCTCGCTCTCTCGAGGCCCTATGCCGATCCAGATCTGCAACGGTTTTGAATTGTAGGCGGATTGTGACTCCTCTCTCCACTCCGTTCTCCCTTGTGTCTTATAGCTGTAGGCCTGTGGTCTGTTCATCTCTCCTTCGTGTCTGGAACTCTTCAAAACTTCAATGTGCAGGAAGGGCTTTCTGGATCTGGAAGTAAGAAGAAACATGCTCTGACGTGCCCCGGGTCTCAAAAGCCTCGGAGTAGCTATGAGGTTCTGACGATGTGAGACATAGATCCACACGACCACCTCCGTTCGAGTGTGCTCAAACCCCAGTGAGAATAAATGACCTCGCTAGGACACTCTCTTGAGGTATCAGTTTTCTCGTGGTTAGGTTCTCCTCTCCTGGGCGTGGAGGGTTTCTCTTGTTGGTGAAGACACCTTGGCGCACCCGCCCAATATTTCTTCACCACTGGTCTCCAGCAATTTGTAAGAGTCGACTTACAAGTTAGATTTCGTCATTCAAGGCAATTTTAGAATGCCGTTCAAGTCATGAGCTAGGTCCAATTCCAGGCGAGTTTAGTTGCAACCTCTGGGGAACAATCTAAATTCAAGTAGTATGATAAAAGTATCCGGCTTGTCTCTCTACTGAAGAAGTTCCCACTACCCGCGTGAGCTGAGGTCCTTGAACGATCTTTGTCGCTCGACTCAGAAACCTGGTGCCTTTCCTTTCGGGGTGCCATTCCCATGTGCTACCTGTTTTGTTATAATTCTTTTCCACTTGAGGCATCTGTAGCAGCCTAAGGACTGCCAGTAAAGTAGCGTTCTATGTGATTTGTACAGATTGGTTAACGATACGGTTGAGTGAGATTACCAAGCTTAAATGACATGTCCAAGGTGTATTCGAGATGTGGCATGGCGGTAATAGCTGCTGAGAGTTTATGTGATGTTCGGCAAGCCGGGCATGTCATATGAGCTTGGTAGTTTTTACTCAGCCGCCTGAGTTTCCAATGCTGGAAAGACATGGACCGGTATCCGGAGGAGCAATTCTGAATTTGAGGATCGGGCATGTCATATGAGCTTGGTAGTTTTCAATCAGTCGCTTCAGTTATCAAGTCTGCATACCAGTTGTTTGGAACGAAATCCTCTATCGAAAGAGGGTTCTTTTGAATTCTCAACCGGAACGCCTCTCAGTCTGAAGTGAGAGCTATAGTGTAGTCACAGACGTCTCGACAGGGTCTGATATTCAGGGTTTCTTTCCAGTTTTGCTGTCTGCCTGAAATCAGTCGTGGGAGTACTTCCTGCGATAGATCTTTTGTCAGCCTGGCACTTGCGTCGTGTACTCGGTGTTCCGAATTACGATCAGGAACTCACGGCTTGAAAGAAAACAGGCTTAGCCTGGCAAGTCTATGTAGATGTTCAATCCAATGCCTTGTCTTCTCCAGAATTGTCAGTTATGTTTTTCCTCCCTTAATGGGTTCTTGGTTCTGGTTCCAGATTACCAACTTTTTCTTTTTCAATCTGAAGTTTGCCAAAGTGGAGAGCGATTCACGCAGGTTTTGTATCCCAGAGTAACTTCGTCTTTGACACCTTGAAGGTTACCTGTAACTTAGACGTGATAAGGAGTGAATTCTTTATGGACAGGTTATACGGCTTGGGCGTTAGGGAGTTAATAGACAGGATTTTGCTTAGACGTTCCTGGAAGCTCTTCGCGGAATTCTAGAGAGTCTGGTCTGCTTGTTCCTTGTACTCAACATTTTAACTTTGATCACGACTGACATTTTCAGCATTGATTTCAAGTATATAACTCTTTTCAGCATTTGTGTACAACATTCTTGGACTTATTGATTGAAAATCGGTTGAATGTCTGCTCCTTCAAGATATATGTCACCTATACCTGATCAGGCTTCGCCTGGGTGTCTTCTTCTTTCATTGTGCAACTGAATGATTGTTTCTGTTCGTTTCATCTGTACCTAAGCTGTCAAAAATTTGCTTATTGTGACGATGAAAAATTAGAATCAGAAGTCATATCATTACAACAGGTGCGAGCTGTGACCTTCACCCAGAAGTATTCACCCTGGCAGAAATAGACTATGATAATTGATTCCAAACGATTACTACGTGTGTACGCGCACTGTTGCTGGAAAACAACATCAGTTGAACTGAATTCTTATCTTAGTCGAGAAGAGTAAATGTGATGCTTGAATTCATTCGATTACCAGGTTAGAATTTCTCACAAATTTCCCATCGATTAAATACCAAGAAGATATTATTCATGCGGAAATAGCAGTAATGACCATGTATAGATTGTAGCAAGTGAAACACTTCACAGTAATAGGAAATAGGAAAATCACAGAATCGAGAAATACTTTCTGAAAAAGCATGATATATCACTCTTGTCTGATATCAATGGTTGCACTTAATGCGAATGGAACAGTGAACCTGTGCTTTAAGTCTTTTCAAGTCTCATATTTTCAGTGTGTGGAAAACATAATGGTGTAAACACATGAAAGAGGCGAGGGAGAAAAAACAGCCAAGAACAAGTATAAAAACCGGTATAAATTATAGCAAAGGAAAAGAAAGTGCAGGTTGCGTGAAATTATCTCGTATGTAGCACAGTCGTTGAAATGTATGTGAAATTATTCTAAACAAAGGAAGAAGCAAACTTATGCTCACTATCTGTAATTTAAAAAATGTATTCTGACAAAGCATTGCACCTGTGTTCTTGCAGATTGTAAAATTGATGATATTCGTATGCCAAGGTGAAGGAATGATAATTCATCCTATTCAACTATGTTACGCTGTTTCAGGCCAAGTGGCAACCTTTCGTTGCGGGAACTAATTCGGAGTTGCAGCTTCACGATCAAGTAACTTATGTGACCGAGATATTGACACCATGGTATGATACTACTCTCAGCTGACAATATTATACATTGCGAAGTTGACATTGCACCTTGTGACATGTCTTTGAATTGCTTACCGCTTCCGCTCCAGGTTTGTGAATCTAATGAGTCAGTTGAATATGTCCGTAGATGCGCTTGAGTTTGATCTTGAAACTGCTGTCAACGAGGAGAATATATAATCGCTCCATTTGAATTTTGAGCTGCAACAGCTTAAGACTGATAGAGAACGTTGCCGAGAGACGGGAAAATTATATTCCCGTAGAGCATGTAGCAAGCACGAAGACGATTCAGCAACTGGTCGACATATTCCGTCTGGGAATCGTTCAGGCTGTTGTAGAGCGAGGTGTACCCATGCGTCGACAGTGCGCAACTGTGATCTTGGAGATAAAACCTTCAGAACTTTGGTGTGGAGACTCATGTTACTGTAGCGACAAGGACCTGGTCTTTGTAGGTCAGATGCATCAGGCTGAACGACTCAGATACCCGTCTTTGTTACATAGAGGCTTGTTCAACCGAGTATGTCTTCAAATTCTCCTAGCAAGGCCTTCCGTCAACGCGCTTTGTGTCTTCGACTAACAGTCTCTCTCTATCGCCCGCCTGAGTGCCCTTCTCCATCGTAATTAGAAAGCGTATGTGGTATACACCGCATCCGCGCGAATCTGATTGTTAGCGATTGACTTGTTATTGCATTTATCTCTGAAACCTTCCTCCGACATTCTGCATGGAAAATTGACCTCATTCTAGAATGCGTCGGGCAAGGGTTTGAAGTGCTTTCTGCTTCACAAAGTGCCTGTGGATCTATAGAACCCTGTAGTCGTTTACGATTCTTCTGCTGCCTTTATATCCGATGAGGAAGGTTTTGTGGTTGTGGTGTGAGGGCATTAGTTTGAAAGTATTGCCTCAGGCGCTCTTAGAAAGTTCTAGTATGAAGTCCAGGACTGCTGGAGAGTGGAAAGGTTGGAGAGAATATAGACGCATGACATATATTTCTCACTCCAAGCCATGTGGGGGAGGTTAAAAAGGGTGACGGAGGAACAAGCCTCATGCCCAGCCTAGGGCGGGCTGACCTCGAACAGATGGAAAGACAAACAAGCCGTGAAGTGGAAGTCGCTACAGTACTGCTTGTTTAATTAGTGGCTATATATGGCAGGCAATGTTCTCATCAGATACTTATATATAGTAGAGTCGTTAGGTTTGGTCGTAAAGGATTTACTGAATCCGTAAGGTGGCGCAGCGTGTGTGTGGGCCCAGAGGCTCTTGATGTTGTCATTTCGTAATCAACACCAGAACATACTTTACTAGACGCAAAGCAGAAATCTGGTCTTTTAGCGGGGCGGAAAGTAATCTTAAGAAGTAATCTCCATCGTCTGCAATGTGTACATGCTGTATAATGTGCGACATTGCGACTTGTTCGCTTCACATGTGAGCTGACACTCTTTCATTGATGTCCTTGTAGTCGTGATGATTAGAGGGTGCATTATTCAAAAGAGTGTTGGGAAAGCACAGAAACATCGTTCATGGTGTTTCAAGGGCTTCTACGGCGTTGAAGAGCACATAACCTGCTTATAATCATCATTCACAGACGAGCTGCTATATGTCAAACTTGTTCACCACGGCAGACCTGACGTTGGCAACGTGCCAGTCATTTATATGTCGGTCCTGTTCCCTGGCAGCATGGACTGTACATGACGTTGACTATGATGGGAGCGTGGGAAAGTACATGGGCGATGGTAGTCAAAAAAAGAAGCGTCCCTTGGAATTTGTCGCCTATTTACAGCACGCATCAGCATCCTCCCGAAGTGGGTCACACAATTTCTAGAGACCGATTCCATGTCCAGCTCGGAATTGATCTTTGTCCAGGTGACTCAAATGTCGTCGTCATCACTTTGAAAACAACAGAAATAATGGTTTTCACTCTGACAGACAGATGCGGTGCAGGTCAGAATATTGGGTTTATGTTGAGCTCCATAGACCTGAACTTAGCCTGATCTGTGCTCTCGCCTCTCCGACAACATGCACTCTTCCCTCTCGACCCTCGGCCGATCAAGCACCCAAACGTTTCAGGCTTCTCCATCACTGAAGCAGACACCACCACCGTACGTGGACTTAAGGGAGGGGATCCATTGCATGGCGATACAGCGGCAACAAGATATTTGCTGCTCAAGATTTGATGAGCTCTCCTTGGAAACTCTCAGGTGTGTCATCGCTCTTTGAGCCCTTCTCAGGTTTACCGCTGAAATTACATGAACAGTCCCCTAATGACCAACGAGAGTTGCCCAGCGCACACCTTGCATGCAAGCCCAACGGGCCTAAAACGATGCTGAGCTCCGCGAGGTAGAATCTCATCATTGCTTTGCAGAGAGGTCTGCCCTGCAATGAAACTTATGATCTTGAGTGACAAGTAATATCGCTGCATGTATGCATAGATCTGGCTCATATCTCGTTCCTCATCCTCATCCAACATGGAAGTCCCCGAGAAAGCCAAACGCACTATGTCTCACAATTATCTTTGTCCTTCCTTCAATGCGGCAGGCTGAGTGACCGCCACATGATGTAAGAACGAAAAAGCCTGATCATTTCCCAATCGTCCGCGTGGTGCACTGTAGATTCATATTCTTCGTCCTCCCTTTCCGTTCCTGCTGACTTCCTTCCATGGCGACTCTCCCTTGTACTGCAGGCTTGTTTCTCTGCCCCCAATCTCCTCCGTGTCTGGAGTACAGAATGGATCATTTTCTGCATGCCCTTTGACCAACCATGCACTCCTCTGCCTCCAGCCCAGGCCCCTACCCACCCCCACCATAACCTATCAACAGTAGGCTCAGACCTACACCTATACCCCACTCCCCCTCCCACTCCGGTCACATTTACCTTTCTCTACTTTTGAGAACTGGGTCGTACTTTCACCTATCCTCCGTCTCGCATGTAGATAGTACCTCGCCTCGTTGTACTGGTTACAATCGCATCGGTACCTCGCATCTCTGTACGTTCTATTCACCCATTTCGACGCTCAGAGTCTTTTCATATTGTTTTCCCTGTTTTCTGTCTTCAGTTCCCGAATGTAGACGTTTTGTCCTTAAAATTAACATCCTTAACTGACTGCACACATGATCATGAGTCTCTGATCCTCATACAGGCTGGACAGACATACTCCAGTCCATTTTCCCTGACTGGGATCTCACCATGATTCTACACGTTGTGGAATGATGCTCATTCTCCCCATAACTAATGCTTCAGCCCATCTCCCCATAATGGGTCTCTTAAAAGTTTCATATCCACACTATCCCCTTGTCCATTGCTAATCTTGAGATTTAGGCATCTTCGTTGAGTACACCTAGAGTTTTGGACGCGCCTTCATGATGGGAAGATGTCTTGGTGTCGATAAAGCTGTAATGCACAGGTTTCCCTGTTCTCCTCCATTCGTAGTGTGTGAGGTGAGTTGTATCTTAATTCTTGCCTTTGGGCTTCACGCGTAACCTAAAAGGTAAATGAAGATAAAGTAATCTCCACATGATGATGATGACGAATATCTACATGTTTGACCTAACAAGGTTTACAATGAAGAGAGTCAACCAAGCATCAGCCCACGTTGGCAGTAGGACTTCGTACCAACTGAGAATTGAAAGCTACGTTGAAGTGGGTGAGTTACAGAGAGGGGAGCATATGGTGCAATCAAAAGGGCCGATGCTTCTGTCTGGAAGATAAATCTGATATGCTTATCCGTAAATCCCATGAGACTCTCTCTGTCGCTCGAAGACAGTCTGTACTACCATGTCGACCTCGAACCCTCAGAGCCCCTCTCAAATCACTCAGTAGATCGTATTAAGCAGGTGAAGCCCAGTCTGTGTGTGGGGTTTTTTCCCTTCTCTTATACATCATCAATACAAGAACGGACAGTAGTAAAGTCGGGTACGACTGTCCTCTTCTCTTACCTGTACTGTATAGGTGTAGTTGCATCATACCATAAACGTCGAGAAAATGAGTGTTTGCCCGCCTACCTTTCTCTCCCAGGAACCTTCGGCGTTGCTATACGCCTGCATGAAAATAGCAGAATTAATCTTTGATTTCTGGGGGAAGTTGAAGAGGTAAAGCTTTTTCCTGCGGGAAAGATGATGTTAGAGGAGATCCACGGGCAACGTCGACATACATCGTGAGTTGTTGATCGTGATGAAGAAAGCTCAACATTTTTAGGATCCCTGAACTCTGAACATAAGAGTACATACCAGTTGTAAAATCTACCAGCTCTTCTCTTATTGTTATTTTTCTATATCTACTCTGCCCATATCGTGGTTTCAAAATTTTGCTGTAAAGTCAGTATGAGACTTGAAACTCACATCTGAGAAAATAGTTCACAACGGGCAATCAGTCAATGAATAATTGGTGAGAGAGTGAACTGCTGCTACATGTGGTCAATTCGTGCTACGAATAACTTTAAAAAGATGGAAAAGTGTTGTTACGAATTATCAATCCCAAAGAGATGAAAAATTGTTAACACAAATGAATCCAAAGAGGTGAAATAAACTACTTAAAATAAGCTCAATGTGGCTACCAAGTGGGTAATGGAATGGTAAAGTTGGTAAAATGCTAGTTGAATTGAGGAAAAATAAACTACCAAATTTGAAAATTTAAAAACTCCAAAACAACTTATGTATACAACTAAAATACCAAAAAAAACGTCATCAAGTTGTCAAAAATGCAATAATTTGACATAAAAGGAAGATATGAGTTGCAGTAAAAAGAAAACTCAAGATTTGGCACAATTGGCAATGAGCACAAAGGAGAAGACAAGTGTCATTGGGAAGGAAGTGGCAAAAAATAACTGGCTTGAACACAAGTACGGATGGCAATGGAAAGTACTGGCGACATACTCATAAAATATATATTTTTTACAATTACTGAAAAATGAGAGAGGTTTGAAAAGAAATGTTAAAGTATTTTCAACGTGTGAAGGATGATTTTTGCTACAATTGAAAAGTAATTTTGGAAAAAAGGTTCAAGAATTTTTCAAAAAATGAGAAGTTTTTTTGATAGAATTAAAATAATTATTTTAGAGACAAAGATCAGGAAGATTTACGTGAAGTGATAGAGCAATTTTTATCAATGGATGGTGAAAGAAAAGACAAAAAATATCAAAAAAGAAATTAGAATGTGATTCAATGTTGACAGTGAAGTTGATTTGTGGAAATGACGTTTTGTGTGATCACAATAACAAGGCTTTTGATTGATCTTAATTAAAATAAAAAATAAAAAAGCTTGCATTCTACGCATTGTGCTAAGTTCAAAATTTGACTCATAAAATTATTCTTGAGTAAGCTTTGGATGTCAAAAAACGACACAAAATCGCAATGGCAATATAGCAATTGATAGTCAATGATGCAAGGCATATCATCACAAGAGCATAAAATATTTTTCTTGATCGTTTTGATTTTGTAATAAAAAAACAAAATATTCATAAATCACAAACAGATAATCAATGCCAAAATACATATATATGGTTCGCCATGCTCAAGCTATATCCATGGATACAACGAGGTTTTTAGAGAAAACCTACAAGGTGTTCAGTGCAAGTTGTGGCACGCCCTACTGTTTATGCAGGGTAGCAAAAACTCTAGATCTAACAATAGTTCTAAATTGAGTTAGGTTGATTACGGTTTTATTGAAGATATGAGTTACTATCAAACGATTTGACCTTTGAAAAACTTACAACGTGCGTTTTATTGCTAAGCCTAAATTTTGATTAGTTTGGACAGAAGAAAAAATTGATAGATGAAAGTTGCTGTAAAGATGCAGAATCATTTTTGACCAAAAAAAAGTTAGAGGAGTTGTAATAACTTTTGCTACTCGAGGTATATGTAACAACTTTTCAAAGACAAATTTTGCTTATAAACAAATATTTACATAAAGTTTAGAATTTATGAAAGCAACGACTTTCAACCAGATCTTATATACATGGGCATAGTTTTTGATGAAGATAAAAGGTGAGAGGTGTTTGAGGTGAAAGCTTTTTCTATGATTGTTCAATAATTTATCTTCAAAATTTTTGTAAGTCAATTTTGTTTTATTAAATTTGACACGTATTATTTGTATCATAGAGCAATATGCAAACCTTTTAGTTCTCCATATTGTGATGTGATACAAGTGAATGGTTGAAAATAAATTCTGTGTTGTAAAAATACAATTGTATGAATGTATTAGTTATAGATTTATCGGAAGAATTGACTATGATTATCTTGATCATAATCAATTTTAGTTATCAAATCTATGCTTGGTGGATAAATTAAAATACTTCTGAAAATCATGTATGAGCATCATTAATTTATCTCTTATCAAAGTTTTGGTTTCAAATGAAAATTTTTGAACTATATGTTAGTTTTGATTGGTTTGACTAAGTTTTATAAAATTGTTTTTTTAGATTGAATATAACTTTAACTTCAGGATCTAAAAGTGTCAAGGTTTCAATAACAATTCGCTATATTAATTTAGGATTTAAAAACTTCTAAAAGGTTCATAGATTCAATCGAATGTTGTCATGTAATATTCTTTGCAACTTTAGACATAGTTATCAAGATAAAATTTAACATAACTATATAATATCACGAATATAAATTTTTTAGTAAATTTTGAAATAGTTTTGATAAAAGATGTAAAGAAAAAAATTTAGTATAATTTGTGTGATTTGTGATTAAACTTATTCTTTCAATATAAAGATAAATTTGCAAAATTTCATACAATTTTAATAAAGTTTGTGATGAATGATGAATGAAAACATTATATGATACAATTTGTATACACAAACATGTCGATGCACATTTAATCTTCTAAAATCATGATGAATTATTATGAAAACATCTTAGATAAATTTTGATGAAACTCACAATGCTCTTATGAGTTAATTCAAATTTATATTTGACTTCAATAATTTCAATTCTAATATATTTAATTGATTACTTAATAATAGTTATAATATAATATAATAGATATAGACAGATCTTTTGATTTCAACTAACACACTTGTTCTCAATCCAGCAAGTGGATTGATGACATGACGAACATACATTCTTTGCTATAATGCAACTATATTTTGAGATATACTTTTTATTTTGAGTTATTTCTATTTTAAATCCAAGTAACTAAAAACAATTACAAGCGCATAAAAAAATGTTACAAGTTTATATGACAAAAATAGTAAAAGATGGTTTAATGAGTATTTTTTTCTTAAATATTGTATATCGGTTTATTTAGCGTGTGATTGAAAATCACAAATGATTGGATGAATTTGCTTAAGAATAGTGAAAAGTCTGATTTAAGAAAACATTGTCATGTTGTTATTATTTTATTCTAAAAATATCTAAATGATTGACTGAAGATTAATCATATTCAAATTTTTTATTGTGAATAAGCTTTCAAGATCTTTTGAGTGGGTAATTGAAGGTCACAAATGATTGGATGGATTTGCTAAACAATAGTGAAATTTCCGACTTGAATAAACATTGTAATATTATCATAGTTTCATTCAAAAACACCTAAGTGTTTAGTTGTGGATAAGCTTTCAAGATCTTTTGAATATGTGATTGAAGATAAAAAATTCCTGAATGGAATTGCTAAAGAATAGTGAAGTTTCCAACTTAAAAAAAGTTATAACATTATTATAGTTTCATCCAAAAAACACCTAAACATATGGCCCAAGATCAATTACATCCAAATTTTTGATTGTGGATAAGCTTTCAAGATCTTTTGAATGAGTTATAACACTCCAAACTCTAGCCAAATGTTCATTTGGCTGTTTTAGATGACTAAAAGTCTACCATAGAATTCTTGTCATTAAATTATTGGAAATCTTAATCACTGTTCAATTTTTGTAGAATTTGAATATGACTTTTTTTCAACTATCTCACTAAGTTTGGGTTGTCAGATCTTTCATAAAAATATTTCAATCATCAATATAACAAAAATTAAATTGAAGAATATTATTCAATCAATACAAAATTTCATAATCTCATGAACTAATATTCAATATTAATGTCAAAGAAAGTGGTTTAAGAACACATTTTTAGACAAATTTATTACTATGGTGTTAAGATTACAATTGTAAATGCAAACTAGTAGATTCTAATTGTAAACATCAAATCTTAACCATCATCACATATTTAAACTTATCTCAATTGACATAAAATTTCAACTTAAAAAAAGCTTAAGTTGTAAGATATTTAATGGAAGTTTTTTATTCTCTTTTAATCTCATAAAATTAATGAAATCACTCAAAACATGCTACTAGGTGTTGATTTACTCTTTAATTTTGACATTTCATAAAATAGTCTTAACATTTTTTATATCTTTAATAGAAAAGTTGTTGGCATTCATTCAAGAATCACAAACACACATCAATCATGTGACATTAAACAAGCAACATCAAGATATAACGTGATTCATCACAAAGGGCAACATCCACGAGGAAAGTGCATGAGTGAGAGTGTACTGAATGTCTTGTGGAATACACAAATCATGGAGATAAATATTCCAGCACTGAAAACCTTTTTTATTTTTCTTTTCAAATGACTTAAATAAATTGCCAAAAGTTCACAAATTTCAAAAAAGTTGTCAAACATTCAAAATTTGCATTCATGATAATGAAAAATTGATATTGACTTCTAGTTAGTTTGTTGGATTTAATTCAAAATTATAACCACAATCACTTTTTACAGTTTTATTTATACTAAGTTTGAATAATTCTACCAAAAAAATTGGAAAATTTATTATTATCAAAATAATACTTTTTAAAATTTCTAATAATGAATTTCTTATAAGAATGTCTAGTGATTGAATAAATGATGAATATAAATTCAAGTGTTGAAAGATGCAACAATCCATAAATTAAATTCATGACATCAATTTAAATAGTTAATTAACTATCAAGTTTTAACTCCATTGTAAAAAAAATTGACAAACTAGGGAAATTAGTAAAATCTATCACTTGATGCATAAAACTATCTTTGAAATAATATACTATTCAAATTAAAAAAATTCAAAAAAAAATAGACATCAGCACTTTAAAGATTAAAATTATGCTCTATCCATAACTTCACATCATCTCCAATTCGATCCAATAATACTCAAGACTTAAATCACATTTTATGCACCACAAGGTTTAATCTTGTAGAATCTTAGGAACACCTTGATTACTCAGTTCATCCAAATCTTCTCAAGATTGAGCCATTTGATTGAGCTACTAAGTACCTATACTCCTTGATCCAAGTCATGTTTTTTGTCAAAGTTG